AAGGTCAGAAGTACACCCCTGTAGTCCTAGCACTGGAAGGTCAGAAGCACACCCCTGTAAACCTAGCACTGGAAGGTCAGAAGCACACCCCTGTAAACCTAGCACTGGAAGGTAGAGACAGAAAAATCTGAGTTTGTTGTTGGTCTAGCTAGTTAGTCAAATCAAAGAGCTCCAGGTTCACTGAGATGCCCTATATCAAAAGTAAGTTAGAGAGCAACTGAGGACACCCATGTCAACCTTAACCTGGACATGCCTGCTCATACACACATACAAACACAGGAGCTAACTCTGGACTTCTACACTCCTCTTTAAAGTCAAGATTTGAAACAAAAACATGCCCCTCCATTCTCATTGAAGACAAAACTCAAACAATTATGAAGCAGTTATCTGTTCAAAAAAAATCTCAAAATGGATCTCAGAAATAGTATTATCAAAATTCTTATCAAAATAGTAGTTGATTAAAGGAATGTTAAGAACAGTCTCTAGAGGACCCGGATTGAAGCAAGATGGCAGGCCCGCGGAATGAAAATCTGTGTGCCCAGAAACAGATGTGAGAAGCAGTTTCTCCTCACAATATCTTTGTTTATGTCACCTGGTAAAGATCATGGCCACAGTAGTGAAAGGGGTGACATCAAGCAGGACTGTCTGCAAACATTTATTTCCAATCCAAAATGGAGCCTTGTCTACTGTTTGTCGAAAGTCTACTTACTCTTCTCCTCCAGATGACTACAACTGCAAGGTGGAGCTCGCTGTGACATCTGATGGCTGGACAATAGTGTGCTACCACCCTTCTGTGGACATCCCAAATGAGCACACAAAACCTATCCCTCAATCAGACATTTTGTGTAATAATGAAGAAACACATGAACAAGTGCTGAAAACCAAGTTAGAAATAAAAAGCGAATGGCTTGAGCAAGGGCCCATATAGAACAACTCAGCAAGGTGTTCTTCACCACAAAACACCGCTGGTATCCGCACAGACAGTATCACAGACATCGTAAGAAACCAAATCCTCCCAGAGACAGGTGACGGCTCTTGACTTCCCAAGCATAAGGAAGTTTTGCTGTGTGTCTTGTTTGCCAGCTGAGAAAACGCACCCGGTGTATTCATTAAGATGTTATGTAAGAAAATAATAAAAGTACCCCTTCATATTTAAAAAAAAAAAAGAACAGTCTCTAAAAGAACAGCTGAAACTTATTACAAACGTCCTTCTAGCAATGTGTGAGGGCAGTTACGAAATCCAAAACTTTACTCCTTGCTACTTTTACCTTGATAGCCTCAATGGCATATTCCACTTGAAACAATCTTCCTTCAGGAGAAAAAGTATTCACACCCCTGTAATCAAACAAACAATGGCATTAGAACTTGTCAGAAGTATATAGACATTGGCATCAAGTTCCTTGACAATTAGCTCAGATGACTCTAAGATATACAAGTTGCCAGTCACTCTGCCCACAGCAAGCTTTTCAATCTTTTGTTGGTGTTTTCAAGATACTCAGATCTATACAGAGAACACCTCTGCCCCACTCCTAAGTCTAACCAAAATCTTAACCAAACTGATCGAATGAAAGCACGTGACCTGAGTCAACCTGGATGAATTCTGAGCCAACCTACCAATTCCTTTGATAAATGCATGCATGTCCCAAAGCTATAAGACCATTTCCAAGAAAATGCCATTTTTTCTTTTCTTTCTTCCCGTTATATGCATTTGACGTTGTTGCTTTTTTGTAAGTCAGTTAAGAATATTTATCTACCTATTTGTATGAAACAGCATTATTGTATTTAGAGACTAAGATCCATATAGTTACTAAAATCTCTCTAGCTTTCACACTATTCATGCCCATCACGTGCTAGACTACTCTAAAATACGCTGCCCTCTTGCTTGCACCGGCGTGTTGGTGATCCCTGAGGAAAAGAGGAAAACATACCGTTAGTGGTAGAAGCTTTCACCACACAAGCACCATTTAAAAATGTTTTTGAATGAATGCATACAAATGACTGTAATGCTTAGTTTATGAATTCTAAAGTTCAACAGTATGCATAGAGCACAGTGTTTTCAAATTTTAAACAAGACATTCTTCAAAAGACGTGTGTGTGTGTATGTGTATGTGTGTGTGTGTGTGTGAGAGAGAGAGAGAGAGAGAGAGAGAGATCAAGTAAATTGCTCATAGGTACTTAGCATGAAAAGCAAACTGGAATCAGAAGAGTTCAAGAAATCTTACTTACAGAGACCAAGCTTTCAACTATTCTATTATACTGTCTCTGAGAATTATTCTCACTAAATGAGTGAAGAGAATCTCACTACCCAGTTCTTCAATCAATAGCACTAAAGTGACTTAGAAGGAAGTTCAAGGTTCTAAAAAAACAATCACTGAAAGAAAATCCGGGGTCAAAAGATCTAAGATCGAATGTTCTGGGCGATGTGACTTCCTCCTCCCTACCCTCCTCTTTCCCCTACCACATGCTGTCCTAAGTTCACATCGACTCCTCTACGACTCCTCTACGGTAGCATCACTTCCATCTCGATGTCCTTGTTACCTTTAACCTAACCATTGTAATAGCCTCCGAACTGGTGCTGACTTGTTCTTCTAATCCGACCAATTAATCTTATAAAAACAATCGTGATGAGGCAACTCCTTAAAGAAAACATTAAAGTCTGACACAGGGGCTCATGAGTAAAACCCAGAACTGGGAACACTGAGGTCAGCCTGGGATGGTCAGCTAGCTTTGGTCACCTTGGGCTATAAATGAAAACTTGTCTTTAAAAAGTAACAACCACAAAAGACCAAAAAGGAGAGCTGGAGAGATAGCTCAGGAGTTAAGAGAGCTAGGGGCTTCCAGAGGGAGAGTTTGATTCCCAGCACTCACACAGTGGCTAAAAACACCTGTTACTCCAGTTCCAGGAGATCCAACCCCTCTTCTGGCCTCAAAGGACACCAGACACGTACATGGTACATGAAACCCCTCCCCTCCAAATTTTTAATCATTTTTTTTAAAAAAAGGATGAAAAAGAGGAAATTAATTAGCACACAGTTGCCTATAGAGACTCCAATCCTTACATTCTATGAAAACCATCAGTATCTAGCGCCACCCCAGTTTTCCTTCCCACATCCCCTACTAGCCACATATGCACCATACATATGTGGTAATCAGGCTGGACTCTTTCAAATACGCAGGAGGCCTTTTCACTTCCCTCCTTTGCTCATTCTATACCATCCAACAAAGCTGCTGACCCTCGCCGTCTTGATGGACAACAATTCTACTTCCTCAGGACCCATTTGAATTATCAGCTTCTTTGTGAACTGTTCCCCATCCCCTAACCATGAGTGCAGCCTCTCATCACAACTTCTAATGCGGACTGAGATTCCTTCAGTGACATTTTCTCACTCATACTCCAGTTACTCTTGTACACAGGCGAGTAAGGATCTAGATTTTGCTCACTGCTGTAAAACCGGCATCCTGAACAGTGAGAGCAAAAGCCTGACATCATCTGCTAAAGGTCTCTACCTACTTAGTCCTGAGCAGACACAAAGGGAAAAAACCCCACAGAACTAATACATATAAAGAAATGAACAACAAACAAAACTTAAGAATAAAATCTTTCAGATGAGGATCACAATTTTCTCAAAATTTTATCACCTAAAGATGATTCTCTTCAATACTCTGGAAGGCAAGAGTTAACAACCATTTTGCTTGACAGCAGGAAACAGTTTTAAAACTTGACATCTATCTTCTGTGAGTCAGCAAAAGGATGAAAAGGGCCATTCCAGGTGCTACAATTTTGACAGGATCAGTATATACTGGCAAGGAATTTCTCAGGCAACGCGGAACAAAGAAAATGCCTGCTTTCCCTAACTTTTAAAGGAACTTAATACAGCTTGCAAAACTAATCAAAACAGAAACTGAAAGTTAAAACGTCCACAGCAGTTATAGCAGCATTAGTTAGCATTTCTAACGCCTGAAAGGTTTTTTTCTTTTTTAATAAACACAATCGCACACCTTTAACTTCACAAGACATTTGGCCTTCCAACAGAACACTAAAACACCTTGCTTTCAACTTGTTATTTTGTTTGTTTTTGGTTTTGGTCAATAGGGACCAGCATATTACAACTCTTCTGAGAATCACTGTACTTTCTTCCAGTTCCTACACAACCAGACTGCAGGCAATTTATCCGGCACAGCTGAAACTCCCTTCGCGCTTTTGAAAAGACAAAACCGTACAGCACGGCATGTCTCCCAACAAACTCATTCAACAGTGGCTGGTGGCTTTTTATTCAAGGCAGCACATTCCACATTGAAAAAAAAAAAAAGCAGTCACATTTAGCTTGAAAAGATGAACGCAGAGCTGGTGACCCCCCTAACTTTATCCAGGTTAAAGGTCGGACCCCTCCCCACCGCCCGCCCCAAGCACAAACCCCAGTTTTCGCTTCCTCAGGGAGTCGGGACTAGCGGTGACTCAGCGGTAGGACAAGAGCGCCGGAACCGCTCCAGTCCAGCCTGGGGAACCCCGCCTGACGCCTCAGGAACCAGATTCCCCGGGTCCCGCCAGACTTGGGTTCCCGGAGCGCCCCATGACACTGCAGAACCCAGGCCGCGGCCCGGGCCCTGGGCCCGCCGACCCAACTCTAGACCCTGCTGCTTCCCGCCGGACGAACCTGTCGTACTCGGACCGAGTGAGGAACATGGCGAGGACAAGAAGAGGCAGCGGTGGATATGCGGTGTTTTCAAGGGCCACACGACTCCAAGTAGCACCCTAGTCAACCACACCGCCACAGCACCAAGGAGCCTGCTCCCGTCTGCGCGTGCGCACGCGACCTTTATGGCCCGCCTCCCGGGCCTCCCTTCTATTGGCTGATCGAGATTCTCCCCGCGGTGATTTGACCGACGCGCTTCCTCGACGGACCTGAGTTAACACGGGGAGGGCGGGACCAAGACGCCCTTCCGCTTTCCATCGCCGGTGGTTGCTAAGGGCGCGGGGACTCGAGGCAAGTGGTGAGAGATTGGCAGCGGCGAGACTGGGATTGATAGTGGGTCGGCGGGATCGTGACGGAAGTCCCGCCAGCTCTTCCTCCTCGCGCTCGCAGATCCAGCTCCTCGCGGTTTTCCCGGCTCTGTGGCCACCGGAACCGGCTTTGCTGAGGACTTTGACTTGAGCAGAGAGTGTGTGTGCCGCCTTGCGGAGTCTGCACCCGCGCGTCCGGCGCCTCTGCCAGCCTGGCTTGTTGAAAAGAGTTTAAAAAGTTGATAGGTTCTGGTCTGCAAGAAAGTTTTTCAAATCCTTGCACGGGTAAGGTTGTTTTACCAGGTTCTCCTTCTATTCGCACACATCCCACCACACCCTAGCTATCCAAGTTTCAGACCCAAAGATCAGAACTCAAGACCCGAGATTTAGGTTAGTCACCTTTTTTAAATTTTTTTTTTTATGAAGAATGAGTATCTTCTTGTCATATTATGCCTCTTGTTTATTTCTTTTTCTCCTTCTCTTCCTCCTCCTCCTTCTCCCCCCCCCCCACCCGACAGTGCTTCTCTGTAACTTTGGATTCTGTTCAGGAACTAGCTCTTGTAGACCAGGCTGGCCTCGAACTCATAGAGATTTCCCTGCCTCTGCCTCCAGAGTGCTAGAATTAAAGGCGTGCGCCACCACCTCTCAGCTTGTTTCCTTTTCCTTAGGGTAGAGAAGCAACTTGAGAGCTTTTTAGAAACATTGTAAATGAATTATGTATCAAAGAAAGATAGGCGACTAAGAAGTCCTGGCTCTCTAAGAATGTAACTCGGTGGCAGAGTACTTGCTTAGCAAGCATAAACCCCTGGTTTGAACCCATCTTGGGAGTAGGGGGCGTCCTAGATGTGGGTTGAGATAGGAGTGCTCAGAGTACAAACTTTCAGCTAAGATTAATACCTAGTGGAGATATGTTGTCCAGCAGGGTGACGAGTTTATATCTTATACCTGAAATTTTCTAAGGTCAATTTTGATAACTATCAAAAAAGGTAGGAGGTAGTGAATGTTAGCTTAACTTAATCATGATATTATACATATATTAAAACATCATTCCGGTGGCTGGAAAGATGACTCAGCAGTTAAGAGCACCGTGTGTGGGCTGGAGAGTTGGCTCAGTGGTTAAGAGCACTAACTGTTCTTCCAGAGGACCCAAGTTCAATTCCCAGCACCCACATGACAGCTAACAACTGTCTTTAACTCCAGTTCCAGGGGATCTGACACCTTCACACCAATGCACATAAAATAAAGTTAAATAAATTTTTAAAAAAATTAAAAAGAGAGAGAGCACTGTGTGCTCTTTCAGAAGACCCAAGTTCAGTTCTCGGCCTCCTTGTCTTCTCATGACCACTTTTTATTCCAGCTCTAGGGGATCCACTGCTGGCACCTACACCTCTCTCTCTCTCTCTCTCTCTCTCTCTCTCTCTCTCACACACACACACACACACACACACACAAATGCCATTTTGGGCTGGGTGTGATGGTCCCTTTAATCCCAGCACTCAGGAGGCAGAGGCAGGTAGATCTCCGAGTTCAAGGCCAGCCTGGGTTACAGAGTGAGAGTTCTAGGAAAATCAGGGCTACACAGAGAAGCCCTGTCTGAAGAAGAAGAAGAAGGAGGAGGAGGAGGAGGAGCAGGAGGAGGAGGAGGAGGAGGAGAAAAAAAAGAAGAAAGAAAGAAAAAGAAAAGAAAACACTTTTACTATAGCAAATACATGGGGATGTAAGGCCCTTGCAGCCTTTCATCCCTAATATCCAGTCCAGTGATAAATGTCTGTCTCACAGAATGTACCTCTAGAGCAATTTGCTTGTGCACATATGCCAGCAATACAGGGGATCCACAGGTAGCCGATTGTGGGTAAAGAGGAAAGCGGATTTTCTCTCAACCTCAGTGAGAGACCCTGTCTCAAAACTAAAGTGGGACGTGATGGAGGAAGACGCAGATGTCAGATGCTCTTAACTGCTGAACTGCCTGTGCTCTCACTCACATAATCACATCATTTCTCACTGTAACGCTTCACGGAACGTCTTACCTGTGCATAGTCACTTTCATTGGCAGTTAAGCCAGGTGTCCGCCCCCCCCCAGGAAAATAATAAAGGAGACAGAAAGAGGCAGACTAAAAGGTTCTTCGTAAGTAACAGAAAAAGGAACGATCAGTCTACATCCCAGGTCCTGAGCCCTGGATCATCAGGTCTGGAACTTGTATGGGGTGGTGGAATGTGTGTAAATCCAAGGAATGCCTGGCAACATAACCTTAACCATGCAGAAGTTAGGTTTTTGTTCTTTCTTTTTTAAAAAAGGTTTACTATTATAAAGTGTTCTGGCTGCCTGGATCCATGCAGGCCAGAAGAGGGCGCCAGATCTCATTCTAGGTGGTTGTGAGCCACATGTGGTTGCTGGGAGTTGAACTCAGATAGGAGTACCTGAATTCTTAACCTCTGAGCCATCTCTCCAGCCCCTCACCCTTACTTTCTTATAGGCTCAAACCTACCAACTTGGAGATGAAGAAAATAGGCTAGTGGTAAAAGGCGCCAATCATCAATTCTGACAATCTGAGTTTGAGCCCCAGGACCCAGTGGTTGAAGGAGAGAACCGAGTTCTGCACATTTTCCTCTGCTCGCCACACACACTGCCTGGTCTCTCTTTGTCCACTACTTGACACAAACTAGAGTCACCAGGGAAGAGGAATCTCCACTGAAGGACTGCCTACATCAGACTGGCCTGTAGGTATGTCTGTAGAATGTTGTCTGATTGCTAATTCATGTAGGCAGGCCCAGCTTCCTTAGCCTTGTGGTCCTGTGCTGTGTACGAGAGCAAGCTAAGCATGAGCTGGCGAGTGAGCAAACCAGCAATTCCTCCACGCTTCGGCTCTAGTTCCTGACTTCTCTCAGTGGTAGACTGTGACCTGTAGGATAATTCAGATAACTCGTTCCTTCCCAAGCTGCTTTGGTCAGAGTGCTTTATCACTACAACAATGAGAATACATACCATGGCATTTGTGTCCACACATAAGCAAAATAAATAAAATATAATTTAAATTAAAATAAAATACCGAACCTTTCTCAGCAACAAACCAGGCAGCCTGAAGCACCCAGCACTGTGGCTCAGATGCACTGGACTGTACATATCTCTGCCCCCAGAGATGCCATTAGGAAGAATCCCTAGTTTGGATTCTTTTTTAAAAGCCTATCATTATAAAAAAAAAAAAAAAAAAAAAGCCTATCATTACCCATCTTGCAAGACTTCCTGACTACATGTAAGCTAGAAATTTTTATTGCCTTCCTTCCTTTATTTATTTTTTGCTGTTTTGTTTTGAGACAGGATTTCTCTGTGTAGCCCTGGCTGTCATGAAACTCATTCTGTAGACTGAGGTGTCCTCAGACTCAGAGATTCACCTGCCTCCACCTCCCGAGTGCTGGGATTAAAGGTGTGCGCCACCACACCCTGCAAAATGTTTACTTTCAAATAGCTTCCAGAAAGTGTATTACTGTTTCAATAACTTTGGATAAAGACACATAGTAAAAGGGAATGGGGACTGTTTCTGAAACTTAACCAGGAAGAACACCTCAAACTTTGCATGGTTTTAACAGAAGCAGAGAATGGACACCCGGGCAGATAGTGGAAGATAGAGAGACTGCCTTTGAAAAGTAATTTAAAACCTGGGGGTTTCTGTCTTTTTGTTTTTTAAAGCCTGGTGTGTTTAGTCATCTGTAATCCCATCACTAGGAAGGCAGAGGAAGGAAGACACACTACTAGTTCAAGGCCAGCCTGCTCTACAAAATGAGTTCTAGACAAATCAGAACTGTATCATGAGACTCGGCATCGAAAATCAAACAAGAATTGTCTATACTTAGTTGGTGATAACATGTGCATATATACATGGTCTTTAAAATAAATGAAACTCGGGCTGGAGAGATGGCACAGTGATTAAGAACACTGGCTGCTCTTCCAGAGGTCACAGGTTCAATTCCCAGTACCCATGTAGCAGCTCACAACTGTCTGTAACTCCAGTTGCAGGGGATCTGATGTCTTCACACCAATAAATAAATTTTATAAATAAACTTATAATAATTTCATAAATAAATTAGAATAATTTTATAAAATAAGTTTAAATAGATGTTTTTTTAAAAAAGAAATGAAACTGATATTTGCTACAACTTGGGTGTTTTCGGTAAGGCCGGGGTATAGTTCATTGGTTGAGCACTTTCCTAGCATGCCTAATGTCCCTGAGTTTGATCCCCAGCACTGTACAGAGAGTTGGGGAGAGGTAAGAGAAAAAAAGTGCTAAGCAGGTAAGCAGGACCCCAAAAGCCAAATATACAATTCTCTCTATATGAGGTACCTAGAATAGTCAGGTCGTAGAAGGAACAGTGGTTCCCAAGGATAGGGAGGCAGACGTAAAGAGTCATAATTTAATGGGCACAGAGTTTTCTAGAAGAAAAGTTCTAAAGATAGTGGTAATGGCAATCCAATAACACGAATGTTCTTAATGCCACTGACACATGCATTTAATAATTGTTAGACAGGTAAATTGCATCTTACAGTTTAAAGTTTAAAAAGGGAAGTGATTGAAATGTGAGTCTTCTGAGGGTCAGTACTCCCTCTACTACCCAGTATGCCACAGAGACTCTAGATTGATACATCGAGAGAGGAAAAAAAAAAAAAAAAACAAGAGCTAATAAGCATTGTAATCACACAGAGATTAATGTGTGTCTTGGAGAAATAGAAGGCTTTTGTCGTGCCGGTTTTGACGATGCTGGTATCAAACCCAGGACTGTGCATAAGCACATCCTTTATCACCAAGCTACATGCCCAGCCCTGACTTGAAGTAAAGTGAGAAAGTGCAGTAGTTCATGTTGTCACTTTTCATTTTTAAAGTGTTTTCTAAATAAAGCAAACAAGTTTGTCAGCGTCCTGGCTAGCTCTTCGTCAACTTGACCTAAGCTAGGACTGTCTGGGAAGAGGAAAACTCAACTGAGAAAAAGCATCCATTTCTG